TAATGGAGGAAATCCAAAAGAAATCCAAAATCAGTAGATTTAAAAGCAAAACTAGCAAGCAATAGAAACTGCTACTCAAAGAATTCGACACCATGTTGTACAAGCGATCAGCACATTGTGTTGCTTTCTTTACCACCAAAGAAAGAATCCTGTATTGGGAAAAGGCTCTTCATGATCAATAGTTTGAACCGCTCAGTGAAACAACCACTACCATGTGGCATGAATGGACCGCTACAGCGATGATGAAACAGCTTTTGAACATATTGAGCTTAAAGAAGGTCATGTCAATGTCAGTTTACCTAACTACAGAAGTAATGATGTGCCAGGGCACTGCCTTTATGATATGGAGTTGACAGGGAATTCCCTATGCTAAAAGAACGCCATTGAATACCCTTGAGCAAAGACGCTCTAAACAGCTCGCAATGTGTTTTTACCGGTAAATCTCTAAATAAACTTTACCCTGAGAGTTTAAGGAACATGTTTAAACCAACCTCTGGGGTTCATTCCTACAACGTGCAAGGTGCCTCGAACAACATTTTTGTACCAAGGCCCTGTACTGAAGCTGCTAAGCGGGCTTTTAGCTATAGGGGGGCGGTCATGTGGAATGGACTAGAAAAGTCTCAACTGTTTCAAGTCTGCCCTGTGTTTGTCTTGAACCAGGGATTGCCTTGAGGGAGTTGAGATAAAATTTATTTTAGTTGTATAAAGTACCTTTAACGTTGATCGATTTTTGTGTAATTACTTGTAATATCAAACACAGACTACAATGTTTGGGCAAAACAGTTTATTGACTAGCAGAACGAGATGCTGGCGAGAGGTCGATGAACAAAACCGCCAAGGGTGGAGTGGGCGGATAGGCGATGACTCGCTCAAAGCTAACGTGGAGCGATCTGAAAGCCGATACACTAAACACGCGGAAGGCTGGCCTGAAAGGGGCGTGTTCTCCATAGCAATTAGCAATCATCACCCGTGGTGATCCTTGTACAATTACTTGTAATATCAAACACAGACTACAATTTTTGGGGAAAACAGTTTATTGACTAGCAGAACGAGACGCTGGCGAGAGGCCAATGAACAAAACCGCCAAGACCCAAACATGGTAGTATGTGGTTGAGAGTGATTTCTATAATTAGAGAAATTAATGAACAGTTTCTTGAAGGAATGGAAGAGTAAACTAAACAGCAATATGTGAAATAGCGGTAGCCATGCGAGTAGCAGCCGCCCTCTTTTGTCAATCAGTCATTTCAAGATAAATTAAATAACAGTCACTACGCCAGTCGCCCTGAGCCTTAATTAACTCAGATGGTACTTTAGCTTCAAAGGCAATGGTAGCGCCACCGTGCCTAAAACTATGAGGGGAGTAGCTAGTAGAATCGAGACCGACAGCTTTGATAACCCTGGCCAGAAAGGAACTAAAATGCGTATAGGTAATATGGCTCGATGAACTATCGGACCTAACCGAGAATAATGGCAAGTCCTGGCGTACCTGGTTAATCCGAAGGTGGTTAACCTAAGCGGCTACAGGGGACAACAAACTACCCGGAATGCATGGCAAGGGTAAAAAAAACAGCGTTCCTGAAACTGAATAGTTTTAGACGTGCAAACTGTGAGATAACCAAACGATACATCAAAACAAAGATCTGACCACAAAAGGACCTTAGGCGAGACTTGCGCCGCACGATCAACAACGAAATTCGACTTGTGAAAAAGCTACTAGAAAAAGCGCCCACATAGCAACATGCAAAGGCTTATCAAAATCGAAACGGTGTACAATGCTTAATAAGAATCGTGGAGTGATTGGAGCCTTGCGCTGAGCTGTTGTTCCTAAATAACATTTAACTCTGCGTAACAACAATTTATAACGATAATCACTATCCCAAGTCAAATCATGACCGAGAAGAAAGGTCAAAGGCTAAATCCTTGCTGTCAATGGATAACATGTGAAAACAAAGGTTACGCTGAGAAGCAAGGTCATGGAACTTTCTTGGAAACATAGAATCTGCATCCCAGCGACTAAGGCAATCGGCAAAGACATTGTGAACCCCCGGGATATGAGTGACATGTAAGTCTAATCATAACGAGCTGATGTGAGCCAAAGTTGTCTTAAGCAACGCTGCATGAAGGCATCACGTGTACGACCTGAGCTCATCACCTGGACGGCCGCATCGTTGTCACACCAAATGTGGAATCTAGAACCTGCCAACTTGGGGGCCCAAATCTTAAAAGCCATGATAAGTTCAAACAGTTCTAAAAGCATTTATGTGCAAGGCCAATTCTTCAGTGTCCCGGGGAAATGCAAACGAGGTACATTCGGCAAAAAACGTAGCACTGCCTGGATGTAAAGAAGAATCACAGGTAAATAGCACATCATGAAAGTCACGTGGGTGTAATGCAATCATGGCGGAGCCATTGAAGTGTGGTTAAAAGGACAACCACCAGTCAATGTCAGGTAGCATATCACTGGTAACTGGAAAACGTGACTGCCTATAAGACAAACTGCGCAAGCGAGTTAAAAGGCGGGACATAAATATCCGGCCTGGCCGAATGGAAGCTGTGACAAATGACAGTTTCCCTTGTAACGATTGCAATTGACGCTGTGTAAAGGTTGAAAATTGTGTCCACTGCAATAACTCCGTTTTAAGGTCTGATAAGCGATCCCTCAGAACTTCAAAGAGCATCTTCTCAGTGTCCACCAAAATCCCAAGGCAAATCATCCTGGTAGACGGATGATAGTCTTTTTCAGGTGATGATTGTAGGCCTAGTTCATCAAATAAATCTTGAAGACATGCAAAGGCGAAATGAGAATCTGCTGGGTGTTCGGCTCCGTAAAAATCGTTTAAATAGACGTCGGCAGTATAACCTTCCTTGGTAAAAACATGAATTACCTCCCGAGTAGTTCGCTGACACACTAACGCTGATAAATGCAGACCGAATGGGAATGTAGTATCGAAATACAAAAGACCATCCCACATAAAACCGAGATATTTATAATCTTTGGGGTCAATTGGGAATTGCCGGTACGCACGTTTTAGATCTTTCTTGTAAACGTAACAACCTGAGCCTTTGCTGATAATGAACTCACGCAGTCTGTCCCTGCTGGGAAGACGAAGTTGAAATGCATTGTCCAAATAATGAGTTTTTGGAATACCGCTGTTGACAGAGGCTGCATGCGGGAAACTGAGACCCATCACAACCCGGCGCTTAGTAGAACCACGTTTGTAGACTTTCTGTATCGGGGACGTAATAAGGTCGTCCCGTAAAGGATTCTCTTTAAAGGGCCCAGCAAGAGCTCCGAAGCTCAATTCATTTGATAAATAATGTTGGACGTCCTCAGGATAGGAAAGAGCTGACTGATGATTGGTGTGAGTAGGCTGAGGCAAAACACTTGACATATAGTTTATAGGCCAACCGAATTGCAAGAAATCAACAACGACATGGTCGACATAATCTGTCAAATAATCTCTCCAAACAGGAATGTTCAGTTGCGAAGAAACAGGTATTTTAGCTCCGTAGGCATTTGGTTGGGGAGACTTCGAGGCGAGAATATAAGCCACAGCCGCGTGCGATTAATTGGCTGAGAAAAAGTCATGTTTCGTTAACATATGGTGTTTCGTTTTCGTGTCAGTGTCCGAGTCCATGTCATAATCCGTATATGCCAATAGTCTGACTGTCCAGTCATTGCTGGTTGGGAATTTGCATTTTTTGCTTGGGACAGTGTGGCATAGGATGCTCGCTTGACTTGCAAACTCGGCACAAATGATGTGAGGCATAGTTACTAGCAGTGGAATCACAAGAACAAGAACCCTTGTAATTCCACGCTTGGCAACCTTTAACTGTGAGTTCTTGTGAAGAAGATCCAGAATAAGGCGAAGAAGAAGCAGATGAATTCAGATTCTTGGAATGGGTCGAGCGTAAATCCGAATGCTTGTAAAATGTGGATGCCATGTCCCGAATGTCAGTAATGCGATCCCAATCCAATCTACGCAGTTCGACTTGCCTTGCCAAATAGAAATAGAAACCTCGAACGCTTGCCCATGTGTAACTAATGGCTTTGGCCATAAGAACTTCTAGTATGGTGAACATGTGCGTGTTCGATGCCGTATCATAGGCTCGAATCATCGCCAAATAACTGGCAATAAAAGGTGGTAAATCTAAAGAATTGAACTCAGGATTTATTGAGGTACCTGGAACAAAGTCCTGTGTCAGACTTTCCAGTCGCACATGGCGCTGTCGATGTAGTTGAGGGCGTTGCTGGTCCGAGAACTTGGCGTAAACGGAGCACTTCCAGTTCTAACGCCAACTTTTCTTTTTCCTGCTTCACCAGCTCTAATTTCTAACTACTCTAATCCAGTAGTGGTTGTTTTCTTTCTGAAGGGGAAGGATGCCCGAGGACAGGCCAGAGGGCTGGTTCGTCGTCACGAAATTGAGCGTAATAATCGAATAGCTGAGATTGCGGCGATGGTAGAAATGCATAATCCTCCAGTTGGGGTTTGGACCTGGATTTTTGCTTGGATTTTTGCGACATGACTGAGAGTGTAAACTACTAAATGCTAGCGATTGACTATAAAAGATGAGAGGGCGTTCGTTCCCGGAATTTGATCAACCTAATAAAGGATGACTTGCTCAAAGCTAACGTGGAACGATCTGAAAGCCGATACACTAAACCCGCAGAAGGCTGACCCGAAAGGGGCTTGTTCTCCATAGCAATTAGCAATCATCACCCATGGTGATGCTAGTACATTTAATTATAGGATAGATTTTCTTAATATATAGATATATTTTAGCATTAACGTAGTTTCTCTGAGAATTTTGTTATGTAAACGGCTCACTGGAAGAGCATTTTTAATGAAGTGATACCGTAAATACAGATAGATTGTTGTTGTTTTTGTATTACCATGTATACCCATATACAGCCATGTAATGCCACGTATTACCATGTATTGCCATGTATTACCATGTATTGCCATATATATCCGTGTATTTCCATGTATCACCATGTATTACCATGTACTGCCGTGTATTGCCATGTATAGCCATGTATTACTATGTACTGCCATGTATAGCCATGTATTACTATGTATAGCCATGCATTGCGATGTATTACCATTTATTGCCATGGGTAGCTATGTAATGCGATGTATAGCATCTATAGCCATATATTGCCATGTAGCACTACGGTATTACCATGTATTGAAATGTATTACCATGCATTGCCATGTATAGCCACGTAATGCCATGTATACCCATGTATAGTCATGTATTGCCATGTATCACTATGTATTACCACGTATAGCCATGTGTAGCCATGTGACGCCATGTACAGCCATGTACTGCTATGTATCGCCATGTATAGCCATGTAATGCCATGTATAGCCATGTATAGCCATGTACTGCCATGTATACCCACGTATAGCCAGGTAATGCCATGTATTGCCATGTACTACCATGTACTGTCATGTATTGCCATGTATAGCCATGTATTACCATGTACGGCCATGTATAGCCATGTATTACCATTTATTGCCATTTATTACCAGATACTGCCATGTATAGCCATGTTTAGCCATGTATTGCTATTTATAGCCACGTAATGCCATGTATAGCCATGTATTGCCATGTAGCACTATGTATTACCATGTATAGCCATGTGTAGCTATGTGATGTCATCTATAGCGATGTACTGCTATGTATCGCAATATATTGCCGTGAATTGCCATGTATAGCCATGCATAGCCATGTAATGCCATGTATAGCCATGTACTGCCATATATCACTATGTATTCCCATGTATACCCATGTATAGCCATGTAATGCCATGTTGTATAGGCATGTATTTTCATGTACTGCCATGTAGTTTATGTACTCTCATGTTTTGCCATGTATAGCCATGTATTACCATGTACGGCCATGTATAGCCATGTATTACCATTTATTGCCATTTATTACCATATATTGCAACGTAATGCCATATATAGCCATGTACTGCCATTTATCGCAATGAATTACCATGTTTTACCATGTATTGCCATTTATAGCCATGTAATGCCATGTGTTGCCATGTATTACTATGTATTACCATGTATAGCCATGTAGTGCCATGTATAGCCATGTAGTTCAATACATGGTATTACATAGTAATACATGGTAATACTTTGCCGTACATGGTTGTACATGCCTTCACATGGCAGTACATGGTAGTATATGACAATACATGGTTAGCACATAGTGTTAGTCACGTTAATAAAGTAATGATAATGATTTAAAATTATTTAACGCAACTTTCCATTCAATAAGTTAAAAAGAAGACTAAAAATGAATAAATTTTAAAAGCAGGCAGAAAGATTTAAAAATTAAATAAAATAACAATAAGTGATAAATAATAAAATAAACGAAACAAATACACTACTACAAATTAAATGCGTGTTTAAAAAGATATGTTTTCACGTGGGATTTAAAATTTGACAGAGAATCAAGGCTGGATATTTCGCTAGGTAGGTTGTTCCAGAGCTTGATTATTGTTGTTGTTGTATTACCATGTATACCCATGTACAGACATGTAATGCCATGCATTACCATGTATTGCCATGTATTACCATGTATTGCCATATATATCCATGTATTTCCATGTATCGCCATGTATTACCATGTACTGCCATGTATTGCCATGTATAGCCATGTATTACCATTTATTGCCATGTGTAGCTATGTAATGCGATGTATAGCATGTATAGCCATATATTGCCATGTATCACTATGTATTACCATGTATAACCCTGTATTGCTATGTATAGCCATGTATTGTCATGTACTGCCATGTATACCCATGTATTACCATGTATTGCCATGTATCACTATGTATTACCATGTATAGCCATGTAATGCCATGTATAGCCATGTAATGCCATGTATTGCCATGTATTTCCATGTATTTCCATGTATTGCCAGGTACTACCATGTACTGTCATGTATTGCCATGTATTACCATGTACGGCCATGTATTACAATTTATTGCCATGTATTACCAGATATAGCCATGTATTGCCATGTATAGTCATGTATAGCCATGTTATGCCATGTATTGCCATGTATAGCCACGTGTAGCAATGTGATGTAATGTATAGCCATGTTGTGCTATATATCGCCATATATTGCCATGAATTGCCATGTATAGCCATGGATAACCATGTAATGCCATGTATAGCCATGTACTGCTATATATAACTATGTATTACCATGTATACCCATGTATTGCCATGTATTATCATGTATAGGTATGTATTTCCATGTGTTGCCATTTGCTGCCATGTAGTGTCATGTATTGCCATGTATAGCCATTTAATGCCATGTCTAGCCGTGTACTGCCATTTGTCGCCATGAATTACCATGTATTGCTATGTATTACTATGTATTACCATGTATAGCCATGTAATGCCATGTATTACCATGTACTTCCATGTATAGCCATTTATTGCCATGTACTGCCATGTATAGCCATGTATAGCCATATATTGCCATGTATAGCCATGTATTACCATGTATTGCATTTATTACCATGTAATGCCATGTATAGCGATGTATTGCCATGTATTGCCATGTATCACTATGTATTATCATATATAGCCATGGCGATGTACTGCCCTTTATCGCCATGTATTACCATGTATAGCCATGTAATGCGATGTGTTGCCATGTATTACTATGTAGTACTATGTATAGCCATGTATTACTATGTATTACCCCCTATAGCTATGTATTGGCATGCATTAACATATACTGCCATCTATAACCATGTATGGCCATGTACTGCGATGTATAGGCATGTATTACCATGTATAGCCATGTACTGCCTAGGATAGCCGTGTATTGGCATGTATTATCATGTACTGTGATATATAGCCATGTACTGCCACGTTTTGCCATGTATAGCCATGTATTACTATGTATTACCATGGATTGCCATGTTTGTCCATATATTACTATGTATTACCCTCTATAGCCATATATTGCCATGTATAGCCGTCTATTGCCATGTATTACCATGTATAGCCATATATTGCCATGTAAAGCTATGTATTACCATGTATTGGCAGCATTACCATGTACTGTCATCTATAGCCATGTACTGTTATGTATAGCCATGTATTACCATGTATTGCCATGTATTTCCATGTATAGCCATGTACTGCCTTGGATAGCCATGTATTGCCATGTATTACTATGTATTAGCATGTATGATCTTGTAGTGGTATGTATTGCCATGTATTACCATGTATAGCCATGTATTGCCATATATAGCCATGTTTTGTCATGTATACCCATGTGTTACCATGTAATTCCATGTCTAGCCATGTATTACCGTATATTGCCATGTATTACCATGTATCGCCATGGATCACCATGTATTGTTATTTATTGCCCTGTGTAGGCATGTATTACCATGTATGTCTTAAGTTTGAATGTGAAAAATCTTTTATGGTCTGGGAGACTTTCTGTTACACACTTTAGGGGTAGCCCAAGAAAATTCTCTTTTTGAGAATGAAAAGATATTTTCCTGAGGTGTGCAACTTTGTTTCATCAAGGCCCCTTTCCTGTATGATTTAAGATCATACCAGTGGGTGTTACAAGAAGATATTTTCTCGAAGAGTGTGACTCTTCTTTCAGGATTGTAAATGGGTAGTAGTTGACAAAGTTATTTAAGTGCCATTTGTCACTTTAGAAAATACGCGCTGTTAAAAGTCAGTTAAGAACTTATTGCCCCCGAAGGGCAGGGATTTTACTCATAAGGCAAAACTCCGAGGAGGCACTCAATTAACTTGCGCGTTCATTATAAAAAGTACTTACAGTTGTTATTTATAGTCAGTATGCCATGAAAAAATCTTGATTTGCTTTATAGGCAGGGGCCACAAGGAATAGGTGGTTAACGTTTTCTATTGTTCGTGCCTGTAAGTAAAAGAAGTTTAGGATGACGTAAAACAAAATCCCGGAGGGACCGCTAATTTGTACATTTTGTAACATTTGTTGTATAGTCATACTTGGGTTACCTTTTGCGTTATACTTTATCAGTGAAATTTTGTGGAGCAGCTGTTTTGAAAGTTGCGCTCGTTAAGCGCAGTTGAAGTTATAAGGTGCTTATAATTGTGTGTATATAAACTTTTGAAGAGTTTGCCAGAGAGAAACAATTTGCCAGCAAGTCTTTCTCTTCCTTCGAATAACACTTGGAATAAGTCCACAACTAAACAAGACAAATAAATACACTGCTAGCTTGTTACTAGCAGAACGATAGGCGGTTACAGAAACTTGCTGTAAATTAAATTATGTGCTGACTTATTATTGAGCGGGGGCTTTCATCCAAACATTAAGATGAGGGGTAGGGTCTCAAAAAACTTTTTTTGGCCCCTCGGGTGTCCCTGGCCCCTTTCCTGGATGTGTCATTGGAAATATAATAAAACATCAAATACCATATTAGAAAGAAATAATACTATATACACAGAGGGAGTTAAATTAGATGAAATACAACCCGGAGTAGTCAATCGATAAAAATCGCTATCGATTTATCAATCGATAAATCGTTAAAAATGGGTAAATCTGATTTAATTTATATCGATTGCATTGATCAATCGGTAGAAATCAATGACACACTCGTTTCGTTCATCGATTTATCTTGATTTTGTACCGATTTGATCGATCCATATTGGAATACACCTGTTTATCAATAAATGAAAACTGAATTCATGCAAACATGAAATTTAAGGACAACTGAGTTGCAATACTTGACAGTCGAACGATGCAACAATTATTACTTTTACAAAAATCTTACTCTGTCTTTAAAGTCCTCTTCTGGTGGCTGATAATAATTGGCCAGGTTTGTAGACGCCCAGCTCTTCACGAGCTAGGTCTTCCACCCTTTCAAAGTAATGTATGTCAGTGTAGTTTCAGGTGTAGCCGAGTTACATCCAGGAGAAGTCAATATAGATAATATCGGTATCGATAAAAATCGTCAGCAATCAAGTCATTTTTATTGATTGATAACGGATAACGGTGAAAAACTATCCAGGGAAATCTTTCAGCCTGAATTTCAGACATCCCTTCCAGTCAAAGGGACGCGACTTAAAAGGACGTCTGACATGCAGACTAAAAGATCTTTTTTTAAGGTTGCATTTGCCGTGATATTTACTTGCGAGGACTGAATGTAATTAATCCGACCCGGTGTTCTTCAAAATTAAGGGTTTTAGACAAGATTTTGTGTGTTTAATAGTGTCCACATTTCTCATCTTCTATAAGTTTATCACTAGTTACACGTGGATATGTTTTGTTAGCTGTACTATGTAACTTATGCCAAGAAACAACCATGATGGACTTCCGTTATCAATCGCCAAAACCATAAAAGTACATGGTAGTACATGCCTATACACGGCAAAATATGGTAATACAAAGTAATACATGGCTATACATGGTAATAGAAGGTAATACATGGCTATACACGGCAGTACATGGTAATACATGGCAATGACTGGTAATACATAGTTATACATGGCAAAACATGGCAGTACATGGATAAATGGCAATACATGGCAGTACGTAGTAATACATGGCTATACATGGCAGTACATGGCTATACAACGAAGTACATGGTAATACATGATACATGGCAATACATAGTAATACATGGCAGTGCATGACAACACATGGCAATACATAGTAATTCACTGGAATACATGGCTATACATGGCAGTACATCGTAATACGTGGCAATTACATGGCTATACATGGCATTACATGCCAAAAAATGGTAATACATGTCAATACATAGTAATACATGGCTATACCTGGCAATACATAGTAATAGATGGCTATACATGGCAGTGCATGGCGATACATGGCTATACATGGCAGTACACGACTATACATGGCTATACATTGCAGTAGATGGTAATACATGGCAATACATGGTAATACATACTAATAGATAGCAATACATGGCAATACATGGATAAATGGCAATACATGGTAATACATAGTAGTACATGGCAATACATGGCAGTACAAGGCTATTCTTGGCTTAACATGGCAGTACATGGTAATACATGGCAATACATGGTTAACACATAGTAATACAAGGCAATACACGGGTATACATGGCAGTACATTGCTATACATGGCAATACTTGGTAATGCATGGCAATACATGGTAATGTATGGCAATACATGGTATTACATAGTAATACATGGTAATACTTTGCCGTACATGGCTATACATGCCTTCACATGGCAGTACATGGTAGTACATGACAATACATGGTTAACACATAGTAATACATGGCAATATGTGGATATACATAGCTATATATAGCAGTACATGGCAATACATGTAAATACATGGCTATACATGGTAGTACATGGCTATACATGGCAGTACACGACTATACATGGCAATACATAGTAATACATGGCAACACATGGCAATACATGGTAATTCACTGCAATACATGGTAATACATGGCAATTACATGGCTATACATGGCAAAAAATGGTAATAAATGGCAATACATAGTAGTACATAGCAATACATGGCTATACATGGCAATACATAGTAATACATGGCTATACATGGCAGTGCATGGCGATTCATGGCTATACATGGCAGTACACGACTATACATGGCTATACATTGCAGTAGATGGTAATACATGGCAATACATGGTAATACATACTAATAGATAGCAATACATGGGTATACATGGCAATACATGGATAAATGGCGATACATGGCAATACATGGTAATACATAGTAGTACATGGCAATACATGGCAGTACAGGGCTATACATGGCATAACATGGCAGTACATTGTAATACATGGCAATACATGGTTAACACATAGTAATACATTGCAATACATGGGTATACATGGCAGTACATCGCTATACATGGCAATACTTGGTAATGCATGGTAATACATGGTATTACATAGTAATACATGGTAATACTTTGCCGGATATGGTTGTACATGCCTTCACATGGCAGTACATGGTAGTATATGACAATACATGGTTAGCACATAGTAATAAATGGCAATATGTGGCTATACATGGCAGTAAATGGCTATACATGGCTATACATAGCAGTACATGGTAATACACGGCAATACATGGCTCTACCTGGCAGTACATGGTAATACTTGGCAATACATGGTAATACATGGTTATACATGACTATAGATGGATAAATGCCATTACATGGGAATACACTGCAATACATGGCAATACATGGGAATACATATTAATACATGGCAATGCGTGGTAGCACATGGCTATACATGGCAATACATGATAATACATGGTAATACATAGCAATACACGGCAATACATGGCTATACATGGCGGTACATGGTAATACATAGCATTACGTGGTAATACATGGTAATAACTGACAGTACATGCGTATACATGATAATGCATGGTAATACATGGGAACACATGGCTGTACATGGCAGTACATGATAATACATGTCAATACATGGTAATACTTACTAATACATGGCGATAGATGGGTATACATGGCAATACCTAAATAAATGCTAATAGATGGTAATACATAGTAGTACATGGCAATACATCGCAGTACATGGCTATACATAGCATTACATGGCAATACATGGTTAACACAGTAATACATGGGAATAGATGGGTATACATGGCAGTACATTGCTATACATGGCTTTACATGGTAGTATACGTAAATTTAACCTGGTTTTCTTAGTACATAGTTTTAACAATTTTATAATTATATATATTATTTTAAAGACTTTTATATAGTTTTTGGGCGTGTCTTTTAGTTTTGTGACTGACCTGTAAACTAGCTTTAAAGCTAAGTGTTAGTCACGTTAATAAAGTAATGATAATAATTTAAAATTATTTAACGCAACTTTCCATTCAATAAGTTAAAAAGAAGACTAAAAATGAATAAATTTTAAAAGCAGGTAGAAAGATTTAAAAATTAAATAAAATAACAATAAGTGATAAATAATAAAATAAACGAAACAAATACACTACTACAAATTAAATGCGTGTTTAAAAAGATATGTTTTCACATGGGATTTAAAATTTGACAGAGAATCAAGGCTGGATATTTCGCTAGGTAGGTTGTTCCAGAGCTTTGGGGCCGCACAACATAATGCTCTACCACCAAGTGTTTGGAGTATCTTGCTGGTTGCAACCTCAAGCATGACTTTTGTCCTGGATCTGAGGGAATATCCAGTTGATTTCCTTCGGCTGATCAATTTTCAAATATAATCTGGCGCCATGCCGTGAATAGCTTTAAAAGTCATCAGTAACATCTTAAACTCAATGTCATTTTTGATGGGAAGCCAGTGAAGCTGAGATAAGACTGGTGTTACATGGCAAAACTTAGGTTGCTCAAAAATAAGCCTTGCAGCTGCATTTTGAACTCTTTGTATCTTATCAATTTGTACCTGTGGCAATCCATAGAGTAAATTGTTACCGTAATCTAATCGGTTGGAGACAAACGCGTGAATCAAAGTCTCTGAGGAGTCATGCGACTGGTGTTTTTTTATCTGCCTAATGTTGTGGAGATAGTAAAATGATGCATTACAGACTTTGTTGATGTGGGAGTTCATTGTCAGCTTGTCATCAATGTACGAGCCATGGTTCCTAACAACTGATGATTTCATTACAGCAGAGTTTCCCATGGTGATTAAAGAAATATGAACTTTAGATAACCGTTGCCGGGTGCCAATGACCAGAAATTTAGTCTTTTGCCATTGAGAAGGGGTTTGTCATGTTCCATCCATGAGCGAATGTCGTCAATGCAATTTTGCAAGGCAGTTGGGGCATCCTGTTGACTTAACAAGTCATTGGGCTTGAAGGACAAATATATTTGTGAATCATCCGCATAACAGTGAGAATTTGGAAGGTGACGTTCAATGATGTTAAACAGCTTTGAAGAATACAACAAGGGACCGACGTAGGACCCTTGTGGAACGCCCCAGTTAAGAGGAAGACTGTCAGAGAGGGTGCCGGGAATGGAAACATGTTGACTTCTTGCTGACAAGTAAGACTTAAACCAATCTAATGGTGCTCCAGAAATTCCAAATGAAGTTTGAAGTCTATGGAACAAAACACTATGATCAATAGTGTCAAAGGCAGTGCTCAAGTCAAGTAACACAAGTAGAACAGCATGCTGAGAATTCATTTCCATCAGAATGTCGTTAGTAACTTTCAAAAGTGCTGTTTGTCTACTATGGTTCTTTCTGTAGGCAGATTGTAGTGATGGGTAAAGATCATGTTTCTTCACATGATTGTCAATTTGAAGAAACGCAGTTCTCTCGGTTACTTTTGAGATGAAGGAAAGATTGCTTACAGACCGATTATTCTCAAAAACAGTGACAAGACCATTCTTCTTAAGAATCGGTCGAACCAAAGCCTCTGTCCATGCTCAGGGAAAAGGGCCACTTTCAAGTGAAATATTAACCATTTTAGTTATGACCGGTAAGAGGACATCAATGCACTTGACCAGCAGGGGTGTAGGTGTGGGATTGAGAGCACACGATTTCTTGGCCAGATTCATGTTAATGCTGTAAGTTTCATCTTATATAATTGCTTTAAAGCAACAGGGGTCTTTTTGGCATGAGCATGAGCGACCACTGACTTGTCAAAGAGCACGCGACCACTGACAGCGACCGTGCTGCATAGTCATAGGAACCAAATTGTTCACTTTGAAAGCTTGCTTGAGATTGAAATGGTAGCAGGAACTTAGGAAAGACCTTCGTTGTACAAAATAAGTAAAGATCTTTTGATTTAAAGTGGAGACTGATGCGCTGAACGAGGTGAAAGAGCAAGTTTCTCAAGGATGTCTAACACGAACATAGCTGCTTGTTGTTTGGCGCTCAACTCCTGTCTTGATTCCCATTTAAGAACCGCAAAGTTTGGCATAGAATGCATTGCTGATGGGTAGCTATTGAGCAAAATGTTCTTTATTTAGTGTTTGTCTATAAATCGGATGTAAATTAGTTTCTCGATGCCGTAGCGGATTTCTGTCAATAATTTGTTAATAGCTGATTTAGCCATATTTCGGGAGTGGATTAACGATCAGCAGGCGACTACCATGCCGTTTTTAGTTGGAATAGAAAGTTTTTGCCTTAAGTATTTTAGCGATACAAAGTTTGTTTATAGGAAAATTGTAGAGCTTCTTGTTTTTGCGTGGACTAACATTGTAACGCATCTTTTACAGGAATTTTGCTTTTAGCCAGAACTTAAATGTTGTAATGATTTTTAACTTTTGGTCGGCATCACATGTTTACTGTACTTCTTGGGAAACTTAACCGTTTTTTTCATCAAAATCGGTCGCAAGATTGGACTTTAATTTCGGTCCTGTTGAATGCAGTTTTGACCGTGTCTCATTGATATTCATTTTTTTTATTGTTCGAGACATACAGAGTGACTTCCACCAACATCTCACCAGGTGACTAATCTACGTCTCGTGTGCTCTTAATTTTGTAGCTTTAAAGTGCTGGCAAAATTGTAGAACATACATTAATTCACTGCTGAACTGAACATCGGCTTTCGCGCACTTCGAACCCACTCGCTGACATTCGCTATGTTTTTTTTAATATTTCTCTTCCTTTCCCATTTCAAAATAAAGAAAATTGAAAGTGTTTACTTGCATCAACAAACGTTTCTGCACTTTGTTTAGACTTTGATGAGGTCAGCACAATCCTCCAGGCACTACATATACGTGCGCTGTTGTCCAGGTCAAGTGGGGAGATGAAATTTGATAGTAGCTCGTGTATGTTAAAGCCGGTCTACTTCGCTTTTGTTAAGACAATGTTAGAGTTTTTTTTGCAAACTTCCCCTTTTTTTTAAATCACGAGCACATTCGCCAAGACCAACGAGCAAAATAATCGCTATGATAGCTTTGAGAGGCGCCATTTTGATGAAGGCAAACCCTGTGGTGAGCCTCCATGCACATCGCTTGTTCAGCGGTTGCGCATGCTCATGCAAAAAAGACCCCTGTTCTTTAAAGCTACCAAATGGTTGAGAATGTATTTCCATGATGGGGGCACAATCTTGGCAATCCCGATTTGTACACTCATGGAATTTAGATCTTGTATTACTGATCTTTTCAACGAAGAAATTAGCCATCTCATTTACCATGTATAGCCATGTGTAGCCATGTGATGCCATGTATAGCCATTTTCTGCCATGTATCACCATAAATTACTATCAATTGCGATGTATACCCGTGTAATGCCATGTAGAACCATGTACTGCCATCTATCACTATGTATTACCATGTATACCCATGTATTGCGATGTAATGCTATGTATAGCCATGTATCGCCATGTACTACGATGTGTTGCCATGTATAGCCATATATTGCCATGTACTGCCATGTACAGCCATGTATTGCCATGTATAGCCAAGTAATGCCATGTATAGCCATGTATTGCCATGTATCACTATGTATTATGTATAGCCATGTACTGCCATTTATCGCCGTGTATTACCATGTATTGCCATGTACTGCCATATATAGCCATGTAGTACCATGTATTGCCATTTATTACCATGTATTGCCATGTATAGCCATGTAATGCCATGTACAGCCATGTATTGCCATGTATCACTATGTACTTTCATGTATAGCCATGTAACTGCCATTTATAGCCATGTAATGCCATGTATGGCCTTGTATTGCCATATATTGCCATGTATTACTATGTATTACCATGTATTATCATGTATTGCCATGTATAGCCATGTAATGCCATGTATAGCCATGTAATGCCATGTATAGCCATGTATTGCCATATACTGCCATGTATAGCCATGTATTACCATGTATTCCCATATATTACCATGTATTACCATGTATAGCCATGTATTACCGCGCACTGACATGTATTATAATGTATTGCCATGTATAGCCATGTTTTGCTATTTATTACCATGTTTTGCCATGTATACCCATGCATTACCATGTATTGCCATTTATAGGCATGTATTACCATGTGTTGACATGTATTTAAATGTTTCACCATGTATTGCCATGTATAGCCAAGTATTAATATGTATTACCATGTGTCACCGTGTATAGGTGGGTATTTCCACGTATTGCCATGTATAGCCATGTATTACCACGTATTGACATGTACAGCCATGTATCACTATGTACTGCCATGTATAGCCATGTATTACCAGATATTGCCATGTATAGCCATGTATTACTATGTACTGCCATGTATAGCCACATATTACTATGTATTGCCATGTATTAGCATGTATAGCCATGTATTACCATGTATTTCCATGTATTGCCATATATCACCATGTATTGGCAGGTATAGCAAAGTACTAACATGTATTACCATGTATTACCACGTATTGACATGTATAGCGGTGTATTACTATCTACTGCCTGTATAGCCATGTAGTGTCCATAACGTAGGAATATCGGAGGGTTCCTTACGTTACAAGTTTAG